AGTATGTTCGAGACAACAACTCTGCCGGTGTTCTGGATTAAAGTCATGACAGAATACCCTGAGATCACAGCACTGAAAACCCTGTTGCCATTTCCGACATCCTATCTGTGTGAAGCGGGTTTTTCTGCAGTGACAGCAACCAAAACAAAACAACGGAGTAGACTGAACATAAGCAACACACTTCGGGTGTCATTGTCTCCTGTTACCCCCAGATGGGACCGTCTCGTTGCAGAGAAACGAGCTCAGGGCTCCCATTGATTTAGCGTTATGGGGAGTTAAAGTTTTCAACACAGTGGATTCACGTTTATTATTATATTAACAATATAAACAATCTACGTATAGATGACGGGAGTAAGGCAATGACGATATTCTGAACGGACAGCATCAGGTCAGAGGGCGGTGGCACTCGGCCACTAGATGTCACTTGTAGCTGTTGTGGAACTCGTGCTCTCTGTCGTTGCAGTGCGTTAAGTGGAAATAAAACAATTCCCGAGGTTCCTCGTGGGTGCATTACCTATTTTATTAAATATTTTTGTCTTCAGAAACGGAAAGCAGGTAACCAACCATGCGTTCCCTGATAATTAAAATAGTTTTCTTGTAGCTAAAGAGTTTTTATACCACGCCGCCTCTTATGTGATCAGACTGGTCCAAATCAAGTGGAGTAAAGTATAAAAGAACATCTTTGTTCTCTTAAAAACACTGAGGCTGCAATCTTCCCGTGCTTCAAATGCAAATAGGCGTTAACTCCTTGACAACGCATCGCCCCTTCACGAGCACATGCACTATACACACAAAGAATTCGTTTGTAGCAGGCTGACGCGCACTCATAAAATAAAAAGCCATGTAAATAACGGCATACAGACCATTACAGTGTCTAAAGGCACCAGTGTGCGTAACCACGCCGCGCCGGTTGCTGGGAGTGTTGAGGTGAGGGTGTATAAGAGGCAACTGTTTTGGTAAACTCGCTAGTTCCATGAGCGACAGACGAAAGAAGGGTCTGGTACACAGTGCGCCCATCGGACTATGCCTTTCCCAGTTTAGGAGGAAAACAAAAGGGAGGTCTGCACGGGCAGAGGACGGAGTGGAGAGCCACGACTGGGAGAAAGGGACAGGCAGGCGCTCTGGAGATGGAGATGACACGCCCCGGTCTGCAAGGCGATTCCACAGTGGACTGCTTAAAGTGCGGTGGCTTGTTAAATCACAACGACGGAGACTCAGCAGAGGTATCTGTGCCGCTGTCACTTCCCGGGATTCGGACAAGTCCTATGGAGGGAGACAACCTCTACAGACTGCGAGACCGAAAGTTTTTATTGGAGGATAAAAAGCGCCTTTGCGCTTTGGCTTTGGCTGCTGCTCTTCTCGGGATACTACTCATGATCATTCACGTCGAGATATGCCCCTTCGTTTATAAACCGGTAGGTTTAAGAAACTAACCACTTGGTCAATGAAGAGCTGATCAAATCGGACTGTTCAGAAATAAATAACGTGGAAATGTTTTCACTTGAATTTTGTTGATACTTGAGCTAAAAGCGGTAGTCTTCCATCTCTCTAGTTTCCACTACAGCTCTCATTATTTTGCTCTCTGCTAATGAATGTCAGAGCTTTTCTACATATTGCATAGTTAGAACATTTTCACGGCAGTGCCTGTTCTGTGAACCAGCTAGATCATTATCAGACATAAACATTAAATCCACTTTTCCAGTTGGTCAAGACATTTTAGTTCCCTTGAACTCATCATTAAATGATACATTGATCAATAAGTCATCATGCAAGAGAACTAAAAGCCCATTAACAGTTCCTTGTGTAGCTGTTATAATTGCTCAAATAGTTTTTCACTTATAATAGAACAGATACATACAAATCATATTGTCTTTCACTTGTGAGCTCATAACTGGTGCAGAAAAACCACCTTTACACGGCTGGCTCTCTCTGCCCTTATAACAAGTTCCTTGATTAACAGACAGAACAAGCCCCATGCAGCACCACAACAGAATCTGCACATGGGCTTTGAACCTCTCTGACCCATACTGATTAGTTAGTTCAATTCCAGACTCTATTTGGTAGTACAGCCTCATGACATTAATATGCAGATTTCAGTGGATAACAGTGCCAGGCCACACAGTCAACAAATTATTAACTCCCCCAACTTCCTACAACGCACGCCAGTTCCACATGTGGAAAAAAGTTCTCATGCGTGCCGCAAAAACATCAGACCACCTCTATGCTGTGCAGTCGGTGATTGACCACAGTGCTAAAGAGCCACGCATTTCTAACTCACATCAGCTAATCTTTTGAGAAACCTGTGGAAACATGGTTTGATCTTCAAGACTACGCCTGGTGCATTTAGAAAGTTGGATCTGGGGAAACATGGTAATGAAATTAACACCCCTGGCATGAATGCAACATTACTATTCTGGTTTACAAATAAGAAGCAAGAACAGGTGTTGTCAGGCCATTACTAACAACAGGCATCAGCTTTGGTACTGTGGAAATGCTGATGCACTGGAAAAGTGTTCTCCGCCCCAGGTACAACATATTATTATGGAGAGGCTGCATTAGTGAATTTACCATGGCTCATGTAACCATTGTGACCATTTGTCTTTTAACTTCATGTCATCTCCAGGTTTTTATCTGAGAGGTGACATCTTTATCCCCCGTTGACAGACCCGACTTTTGGTCAGACAGGGGCAATCATAACAAAATACAACATCTTTACAGTTGGCGGTAGTGCACTTGAATCATTATTGTTGTTTTTATAAAAGCCATTTTAAATATGCTGCAGAATGTTTTGGAGCTGCCGTATCAAAGTTAATGCCTGCCTACACAGTTGTATTTTAAGCATACCTTGTCATGGTTATGCATGAACACGAGGCTATTTATGGAATGTTTTCCACATTTCACCTCTTCCCTTACAGCAAGATTGCTCACAGTACTTCAGGCTATCTTTCCACATGATTTAGCGTATAATTTGAGTGTTTGTACGGCCAGTCTAAAAGTTTTTAAGTTTTGAGTTTGGCTGGGCTAGAGCCAAGAGTGTGCACTTTGACCTGGATGCAACCTCATGTCCTCTTTTCTGCAGCTCTTTGTTCACTTTCCTGGAATGACCTTATAATTCAAAACAATAGCCACATATTGTGAATGAAAAGTTGAGCATAATATCTAGGATTTAAAAGAATATTCCCTGACACGTGAACAGGAGGTAAAGTGGGTCATTTTGACGAGCTCTTACCTCTGACTGTAAGACTGTTGGTTTGTGGTTCAAAAAGAAACAATAAGCACTTTGGCAACATTTGCATGTTTGGTAAAATCCAAATATGACTTTAGCAATTTCACATTTATTCCAAAATACTGAACATCTGAAGCTGCTAAGATTTACTTTCATGCTATAATTCTCTCACATTTTTACCCACCTGTTCTCCTAGCACTCATACACTAATACTACTTACACAATCACTATAAACATACAGGCATTACAGATGTAATATACTTCCTGGATATAGTCTTCTGTTCTGGCCAAATTGTATTAGATGTCCCAGTGTTTGCATATAAAATGTTTAATAGGTTAACACCTTGTCCACATAGCACATAATTCAGAAAAATGTTTGTTAATCAGATTAAGAGTAAGGCAACTTTTGCCAGTCCTTTGTAGCATCCAACCAGACCTGTTGTCATGTTTTAACACAGCTTAACACATTTTGGAGAGCTTGTCGCTGTCTGAAACTGAAACCAGGCTTATGCAGAGTCTACAAAGCACATGCAAATTAGCACAACTTACAGATATGCTGTGCGCTTTGTCATCTCTCCCATGCCTTGTATGCAATATGCCACTATTCACCCCAAAACCAGCATTCTGGGCATTATCCACATTTGACCCATAAGCAACATGATGAAACACAGGCCTCGCTACACAAGGACCAGCTATGGCTCATAGCTAAAACTTGCAAAAAAAAGCTGTTTCCATTGCTGAAACTGAGATGTGACTATCAAAGGTAACTCAGAACTGGTACTCATGCATATGCTACTTTGCTGATTAACACATCCCCAACCAGAAAACAGTCATTTTTTAAATGAGCTGATGTAGGCATTTGTGGTCATAAACCACTTCCCTCCAAAACATCACTATAGAAATTCCTGCAGACCAGGGTTTCTCTAGCCCCATAATTTATCTCAAGGGGTGATAAGACACTGCAGTTAATCAGTAACTAATTAGGATGAAAAACCAGAGTACAGTAAAGTGGCATCTTACTCACCTGGAGTCTTCGATAGCTAGTGATTTGCAGGTTTTGTTCCTCTCTGACTGCTAATTAGCCACACTTGTCCTGTACACTGTTGGCCAGGTGAAGCTTGTTAAGCATCAGTCACCTGTTTCACTCATCAGCACATGTTCAGGAAATCCCTAACACTGTCTCCTACTGTAATATTGTTATGAAATGTCCATTAGGTACTTGACTGTGAAATCACTTTGTGCAAATCCTCTGCATCAACTTTTTTTCCTATGACTGTCCTGCTACATCAGTATAATTATCTTGCAGGATATTATTTGTAAACCTTTTACCTCTAGTTCCCTGAGTGATCTACACCACAAGAGTCTACATGAAAGCTAATAAGACCACAGAAACTAACAAACCAAATTACATAACTAAAGTCAGATAAATATTTTTGCTCAGAAAAGTTTTTATTTTTTTATTTTTTGCTTTGCCTTGGGTGGCCTGTTTTGGTGATAGTGGCTTGTTGTCTGTCCAAGACTATGTGAAACAATTCGAACCTAATTTGGGTTAAAGTTAACCCAAATTAGGTTCATTGGGTTTAAAATGCCTGCTTCCAACAGGAAAACGTTACAAAAACATTTTTAGAAATGCTGTTGTTGAACTCTCTCCTATGGATTGTGGTGAAATGTTGAGCTTTTGTGGAGTGGAACTGGAAAACCACATACCTGCCAATGGATGTCACACCATACCACCTACATGCTTCATCAAGTTTGGAAGTTTGTAATTATCTTTTTTACTGTAAACCACACTGAACTGCTCTTCCTGTTAATAAAAATTCCATTGACATTGCATCATTTGCACTGAGATGCATGAATGAAGGATATAGGTGCTCTTTAACCTGCTGAGAACAAGGTGATATGGCCTATTTCTATATTAATTCTATGAACATATTAGCCATTTAGGGACACACCATCATAGTGTGTATCTGTTGCCTACATCATTTCCCTGAAATGAAAATTATTTAATTACAAGCACTGCTGTTACTCTAATTGAGCTGTGATGTATGTACTTTTAAGGAGTTCATTACAGAATCAGTAAGAGACTTTCATTAGGCTTAATTACTGTAAAATTCTAATCAGGCTTCTTTTGTAAAGGCAAGAATCACAGAGTAGCCTACAGATATGTTACTACAGCACAACCAGCAGGATATTCCACTGAAATTAGTTCTAAATTATGGCCAAAACATCATCTTATGCCCAGCAGTTCAGTTCAGGACCTAGTTCATTAAATCCTGATAATGGAGAACCTTAATGGAAAGAGACTAAATTTCAGTTGTTGCAGAAAATCCTCCTTTTATGTCTTATTTCCCTTGTCTCCATTTCCTTCCCAGGGCTCAAACATGGCCTTAATCATGAACTGTTCCATCAGCCTGTCCACTGGGTGTCTCCTGATCCTCATTATAGCTTTCCATTATAAGGACATCAGGGTGAGTTTGCCTTCCCCCATTTGTTTCCAACAGTTTGGAGAGCCTGTGTGTATGCTTGTGAATGTGTATTGCTGATCTTCAGGACTTGACTTGTCATGATTTTTTGCATCTTTTTTTAATACAAGTAATGTTTGGTCCAACTTAGCTTGGTCAGAATAATACTTTGTAAGAGATACTTATAGGCAATTGTTTTAGAAGGAGCTCTCGGTCCACTGATGGCAGCCTCAACATCGATTACCTGTGTTATATTTGCTCTGTTCATAAAAATCCCTGGATTAAAACACACACAATGTAGCAGCTGTGGTATTTTTCCAGTCCACGTGGCTTGTTGTCATTGTGTGTGAATTCAATATGCATGAAGAGATTTGGTTGAAATTAAACAGAATAAACATTGTTTCATTTTCCCTCATACACACTCACGGGATGCACGTTCATTAAAGTGCAACAAGGGAAGAAAATACTGTGTGACCAATAGTAATAAACCCTGAACTACCCTGCAGAGTTCATGGTTTCCTTACTGTTATGCTCAGGCTGCTGGGTTAATACTCTCACCCACAGGGTTTTTAGTTTGTTCATAAGTCATGTGTGTCTGATACAAGAGGGGTCCATGCCAAGTGCATAGATTAGATTAGGAAGGGCAGGTTTAGGGCGGAGACCAACACACAGGCAGTGTCGCGCCTATAGGTTTAATTTTTTTGCTGCCAAAGGTGTCACACTAAATGATGCAAAAATGTCAAGATGTTTTAATCAGTGGACATTTTAGGTAATGAAACAGGAGGGTAAACCTTTCTGAGAATACTGACTTACTTAATTTCCTTTATCTTCTGTAGCACAATAAAGCCACATATTGAAGGCATGGACACATTCTCACTTTCTTATAACTAGCAACATTAAGTTGTGACTGTATTTTCATTGGTTTCCATCTCCATCTTTTCTTGCTCAGTGTCTTTACTGTTCTCCTCTGTCTTTAAGCTGTTCATCATTGACTACAACCAAGTGGACTGGCGTATTGCCATGACCAGCCACAGGGTTTTGGTGATCACCCTGGAGCTGTTGGTCTGCTCCATCCATCCTGTTGGCACATACTGGAAGGCAGGCCTCCATGTCAACTCCTCTTCCCCTGCGCCGCTCTGTGTTTCCAACCACCAAAGCGAGACCCTGCTGGACATGGAGTTGCTGTTATCGGTTCTGATGTTCCTTCGTTTGTACTTGGTGCACAGGGCCATCCTGCTGCACAGCAAAGTGCTGCTGAGCGCCTCCTACAGGAGCATCGGCTCGCTCAACAACATCAACTTCACCTTCCGCTTTGTTCTCAAGGTACTGATGAACAAACACCCGGGGCGCACGCTGCTGGTCTTCATCCTCTTCTTTTGGCTCACTGCATCCTGGATGCTCACTCTGTGTGAGAGGTAGGGAAGAGAACTGCATGTGTGTAACCAATGCAAATGGTCAGAGTACAATACTTGCAAAAAACTGGTATGATGTTATGTTCTTTGTCCATTAATGCATAATATCCTTACAAATAAGCGACACATACAGTAACCTTGGTGAGTGACTGGCCATATGAAGAGGGGCATTGATCATAGGTAGTATGGCTGTGTTCAAAGGTAAAGGTAATGTAAGAAATGTTGTGTGGGCTCTTTCCTAGCACATTTAGAAGTGCTGCTAGTTGTATTTTCCCCCTTTTGAAAAGTGCTAAGCGAAGCTAACCATCTGCTGACTGCTTCCTTGTTAGCACGCAGATATGGGAGTGACATCAGTGGTCTCATCTAACTATGGAAGAAGTGAAAAACCAGATTTTGTCCAAAATGCTGAGCTATTAATTTCTTAAACATACAAAAATTTGGTAACTTTTTGCCTTGTAACTGTTGCCCTAATGCTGAAATAAACTACATTTAATTTGGTCACTACTGGATATAATATATTAGTTTATTACCACTGGACAAGCACTCACTGAATGACCTCTTTGTATGGTTACTGCCAAGTGTGTATTGGACTCATGCTTTATAATATTTAACAAGTTTACACTGATAGCCATTTCCTGACTTTGTAAGTGCTGTAGAGCATCAGCCCATATCACACTGTTTGATCAACAGACCATTTTGTTTTAAATCAAGCACAAGCTCTTATCATTGTGCACATGAAATGGAGGTTTAATGTGTTGCTGTATCAAAGACAAAGTTTTAGAATCTTCAGACTGGCAGACTAATTTCTTGGGTTTAGGTGTCAATCTAATGCTTTATTTTGTCGGTCAAACACTTCCAAGAAACTGATAAATTTGTACACTCTCAATTAGTTTATTCCAAGTAAAGTGTAAGTTCAGGAGTCATTAAGACTGCGCCCAGTATGTGTGAAGACAAGTCTTCTACATAACATATGGATAGGGTGAGGTGATATGACAATATAAATGAGAAAAGTATATAAATTGATAGATTTAGTCACACTGTATTTTAATATTTTTGGTTATATTAGGCCATTGTGAGTAATATACAAGCCAATAAACTGAACAGTTTCAAGGCAAAATTGGAGTTATACAACAATTAAGCCCATTTCCCAGGTGTTTTCTTTGCTGTACTAGTCATTCCCATCTGGTTATTTTGTCCATAAACAAAAGGGTTGTTGACTGATCAACAGATTTTCAAAAAAACATACCATATCAAGCGTATTGAGATTGCAGAATTACATATATTGTGATAACAGATTTTGTCTGTATCACCCACCCTTAAATTGATAACCTATGATTTAATATGGTTTAAAGTGAGTTGTTCTTTCATGGTAATACATGTATTTCTGGATATCAACATTTGCTTAGAAATGCAACACGGCTAACAAAACTTAAAGAGCTGTCTGCTTTATGTGTACCCTTTCTCTGTAAAACACACTGATTTCATGGTTATTTCAAGAGAGCTTCTAAAGTAATTATTATTGCAGACCATTAAAATAAAATATTTCCTGGTTATATTTAAGTAAAACATGGTTATATTTACAGAACTTGAAAATAGTCACGCGTGTTTAGATTTAATTGCAGTGGGATCCATAACAGTCTCAGTCATGCCTTCTCCCTTGTGCAGGCAGACCCAAGCACTGACAGGCCACATGAACACGGCTCTGTGGCTGATAGCCATCACCTTCCTCACAGTGGGCTATGGGGATGTGGCGCCCTCCACCAGCTGTGGCATGGCAGTGTGTCTCTTCACTGGAGTCATGGTAACTAGGCTGCTTGTTGAGAAAATGAAATAGCTATAAAAAACAAAACAAAAGGAAGACTTAAGATTTCTTGCTTGTTTGACTAATAGAAATGTTTTAAAAGGAAAGGAATGGCATGCAATTGTTTGCATATTGAAGTTTGCATGCAATACTTGTTAAAGCATTCATGTTATTTCATTTCAAGTGGTTGATGTCTGTCTGTTATCAGAAAATTATTTTGCCAGCACAGCAGTGGTAGTTTTAACAGGAAAGACATTTTTGCTTGGGTAACTAGAATGGAGCTGATCTTTGTTTTGCTTCTGTTTGTTAATAACCAAACCATCTCATATTTGTCTCTATGCGTAGCATGATAATAATGGGCACAAACAAGATGTTCTGTTGCTGTTCCTTTCTGTTGCCTTCTCTTCTATCTCGTTCCATTCCAATCTCCTCTAGTCAGTCCTCTTCTGCTGTGCCTCATTTCTTTCTATTTTGGTCCATTCCATTTCTCACCAGTATATTCATTTCTGGTTTGTTCTGTTTTATTACTTTCTGTTCTGTTCCATTTTATTCTGATCTACTCTGGTCCACACTGTTCCATATCATTCTCTCTGGTTGGTTTCATGCCCTTCTGTTCCACTGTAGCAACTCCCAGTTTTCCTATTTAATGTTTCCCCATTTCATATAGAGCCAGTTCAGCTTGATTCACTTCTCTCCTGTACCTTTTGCATTCTAGCCCAGTCTATTGTGCTCTATTCCAGTTGTTATCTTTTTATACATTTGGACCTTTTTTGTCTGGCTGCACACCCTCTTGGTGACATGAGTGTCTTCATCTTCTTGAGTGTGTGATTTAGATCAGCGCTGTTATTAATGAAAAAAATATTGGCAGTACCAGGTGCTAACACAACAAGACTCGGGGAGGGAAACTGTCAGCATGCAGTGGGCACTGTATAGTCCACACAAAACATCTGTAGGGAGTGTGATCTGTCTGCTGAGTGATGACACTGTTGTGATGACAGGCTTATTAAAAAGGAAGAAGACAAAGAATTCCATTCAGTTCAAGTGATTTCATGCGGTGCATGGGATCAAATAAGAGCAAAAGCTTTTTTTTTTATTACAGAAAGATAATATTGTAGTTTGTTGGTAATGTGAAAAAGTGGCATGGTTAAGACTGAAATCAGGTGGAGTGGAAGGTCAAAGACAGAGTTGGACATAACAAGGACGGGGAAATAATATCAGAGGCAAAACAAAGAGTTACGGGAAAGTAAGATAAGCAGTAGGTCACTTGAAAGCACAAGGTGGCTTTATGTTTGAATAGGCAGTAGACTTTGCTTCAATGTCGGCTGCCTCACCTCTGGTACAAGCAGGTAAGAGTCACCGCCTGGTTTTGGATACAGGCACGTGTTTGGTTTGGACACCTCTGTGACAGAATGGAAAACAACCTTTCCTCTCTCTTTCCCCATCTGTCTTGTTTTTATAATCTTTCCCTCTTGTGACAGAAAACTTTCCACCATATCCATTTTTGGGTGGTTTATTGCCTTTGGCACCGCTACAACAGGAGGGTGTGCCAACCTGTGCCCACGATTTGGAAAAATAAATAAATAAATGCATACTTTTCCCGCTCCCATCAGGGAAGTTCTGGGAACCAATGACATGGGGGATGCTCACACCTGAAATATGGTTGAAAGCCTTTACGGTCAGCACTTCTGCTGGACTCCAGCCATAGCTCAGTTTGCAGCTGCATTCAGGGGTTGACAACACTGTTTGCATCTCATCACTGGGTGTGGATGGATCCAAGGAAAGTACCTCCCAGGTTTAACAGACTGTGTAATGACAGATATTCTATGGGTGTTGGAATGAAGGATAAATATATTTTAATTCTGGTTTGTGCTTCTTTATGCTCCTGCTTAATCTTGTGCTCTCCTTCTTTCTCCCTCTTTCTAATGCAAGCTGAAAAAAGGAAAGCAGGTAAAGACCGGTTCTCTTTCATCATTATCCCTGGCAGACATGGGATCAGTGCAGTGTTTGTCTTTGCTTATGACGTGCCTATTTATGTGACTATGTGGATGCGATTCATCCATTTCCAGCCCCATCTGAATATTAACCATCATTCTGTAGTTTCCTGTCCAGCAATAGCTCAAAGCTATTCTCAGAGGAAACCCACATTATTATAGCAGTGCCACAGAATGTCGTGTAAATATAACTCTGATTTATAGGACAAACCATTTGACGTATGTAGATCAACATTCAGTTTTCTGAACAAGTGCTTTCCCTTAAGGGGAACAGTGGTGCAAAAGACACAAAACCCGCTGTTGAGGATTCAACTAAATCAGGTATAAAATCAAATGATAAAAGTTAACATCAGTGTCTCTTGTATTGTGTCTTGCTGATGTCTCTTCAGTATTATGGGTCAGTCTTAGATGATCATTGTGAGGACAGGAAGATGGTAAATAAATCTGTAACCATGCCAACAGATGTATGTGTGTGTGTGTTGGGTTTTAGGGTGTAGCCTGCACTGCCATGCTGGTGGCAGTAGTCACAGAGAAGCTGGCTCTGAACAAAGGAGAGAAACACGTGCACTTCTTCATGCTGGACATCCAGATCTCTAAAAGGGTGAGAATTATGCTGTAATTTTTTTTAGCAAAATGTTCACATTATGAGACACTCGAATATCAGGAAAAACACATCTACTCACCCAGTGGATAACTCTTCTACTCTTATTTTTCTTCTGCATTACTTGTATGTTTTGGCAGTTTTTGGCCTGGTGGTGAAATGGTTAAGTAAAGTTTGTTACAGTATTTGTAGTGAATGGGCCAAAAATGTAAGAGTCATTTAATAGGAAGCCACCATGAGGTATTCAGTTCTGTAGAGGATGTAATGAAATAGAGATTTTACAGACAATTATTACATACGCTCAATGTAGGTCAGATAACTCTCAAACCCAGAAATTCATTTTCGGGGTGATGTCATGTGACAAAATAAACCCTAATGACATCCCAGGCTCTCTTGTACCGACTTCAAAAAAGACATGATCTTCTAAGCTAAAATATCCAGTAAACTAGATGTAACACATGTATGGGTGTTTTGTGTTGTTTTTTTTTTAATTTCTTTAATGGGAGCTAAAAATGGTGTGTGATATTTTTGTGATTATTTCATTATCATATAATCATTTATAATCAATTCAGCTTCCATATATAAACATTTAACAAACAGTCATTAGCTTTCCTCGCATCAGAAGTGACTGTAGTGTGCAGAGCGAAATAAGAAAGATGATAAAACAGATAGAGTTGTTCAGATGGAAGTGTTCGCTACTTTGCATGCCCCATGCATGTGACAGTTTCTATAATTTTTCTTTCATTTAATAGGAGACACCAGGATAGGTTAGGATAGCAAGGGAAAAGAGGAGGTCTGCTAACCTCTTTATAGCCTTTTCAAGGCATCAAACAGAGGAAATAATCTTATCTCTGACAGGAAAGAAACTTGTGTCAGTTCAGGATGGTGCAGCAATGGGCAGGAAACGGGTTGAGCTAACATGTGTTTCTGAGTGTGTGTATGTGTGTGTGGAAGAGGCTTGCAGAAGAAGTAATCTTTTTTGTAACCCTGGACAGGATTCAAGTGTTTGCTTACTGAAGGAGGTGTCAGATAAACAAAACCCTACAAGGGAATGTTGTCATAAAGCCAGGAAAGTGTTTGAGGAAAATATATACTGTAAATGTGTAGTGACGGACATAGTTCCTTCAAACTTAGTTTTGATCTGTGCTTTGTACGCAGCGCAATAACTTGTCACCAAACTGTAAAGCAGAATCTGACTGTGGTAGCTGCATTGCTTTGGAGGATACAACCATTTCCTTGTTCCTGGTGGCTGCATCCTGTCACTAGATGCATCTATAAGCCTTGCTTGTGGTTGTTTTGGTGTGTCTGTAATTGTGTGTGCATCCTTCTGAGCTATCTAGTGCAGTCCAGCTTTACACTGATGGGAACAAGGGAAGACATCTGGATGCAGACATTGACAGCATCTATTAATAACCCTCACAACAGGGCCAGAGTGACATCATCACAGGGCAGTAGTGATCTGGGCAGAAAGACAAACAGACATGAATAGAATCAAAGAGACATTTAAAAAAAAGTGACAGTGAAGAAATCCTGCAATGCCTAAACCTTATACAAGCTTCTCTGTGAAAATAAGACCTTCATAGTTCTGTTTTATCTGAAATCTACATCATAGAAAAGGGATGAACAGGAAAACCTATCTGGATTTAATCAGCTGGCTTGGATGCTTTTACTTGATATAAACCAGATTTTGAGTGAAAACATTTTATTTTAAGTGCTATACTTGTTTTTAGTCAGTCAAGCTTGCAAGTTTAGTTGAGCTCATCTTTTATCACTACATTTCTACTCTTGGAACTTCTGTGTTTGATCGGGTAATTTGAATGTTCCATCTTTTTACCAGATCCGCCATGCTGCTGCTAATGTGCTAAGGGAGTGCTGGCTTCTGCACCGCACAAACACGACCAAGGGAAACCGCGGTGAGCACCGAAAACACCGGCGATGCCTTCTGGAAGCCATCAGAGTGTGAGTTACTGTATTGCAAAATGATACCTACAGGCAGGATGTCTGTGTGTTTGTGTCTGGGTGAGAGATGTTACTGGGTGGTGGTTTATGTGTGCCTTATAGTACATAGTGACTCAATTTGGACACTGATGACTCAGTCTCGGACTCAGACTCAAAGATTGGCTGCATTCGGACTTGGATGAGACTCAGACTCATACTTTTTTCGTAATAGGCCATAATAATCAGTGGTGGAAAGTAACTAAGTACATTTACTCAAGTACTGTACTTAAGTACAATTTTGAGGTATCTGTACTTTGAGTATTTTCATCTATTACTTCATACTGTGACTTACAAGCAAATATTGTACTTTTTACTCCACTACATATATTTTATAACTTTAGTTATTTGCTACTTTTCATAACCATATTAATACAGTATAATTATAAGACCTAAATGATCTATGGTGGAAAATTCACAAGCTACCCAGCAGTAATTCACATTAATATAAGATAATTAAAACTAGCTCCGCCTTTACCAGCTGCAACATTAAATGTGATGTACACAATAATGCATCAGTAATTATAATACAATAATATGATACAGAGATGTGAAATGTGCCGTTCTGCATAATGAGCACTTTTGCTTTTAGTACTTTATGTATGTTTTGATACTAATACTTTTGTACTTTTACTTAAGTAACATTTTGAATGCAGGTCTTTTACCTGTAGCAGAGTATTTTTACATTGTTGTATTGCTACTTTTACTTAAGTAAAGGATCTGAGTATTTGTTTGGCTGTGTCACATACAGTAAGCAAACTCCTTTTAAAGTGGTGAGAGCTGTGTCAGTTGTGTTTAATGTAGACCATGACAACTTGGACTTGGGTAACAGGGACTCAACTCAGACTTGACTTAGACTAGACTTTGACCTTTGGTGACTCTGGCTTTACTTGGACTCAAAAACTGGGAGCACAAGACTCGACTCGGACTCATGGTCTACTGTCTCAACTAGAACACTGGTGGTGGTGTTATATATAGTAGAGTGAAGAGCAATGGCTGAACATGTGGATGGATGTGATATGGAGCAGGACTTCAGTGGAAGGGCCCATGGATGCTGGCTCTAATGAAAACTTGAGGTGAATCAGATGGATTGAGTTGGATGCAGAAAAGGAAAGAGACAGAGAAAGTGAATGAGGGAGAATAAAACAGAATATTATGAAGTTAGTCTTCCTGATGAAATTCTTGCTAAACTTCATTATAATGAGGAATCATATTTTTCCCATTTAAGTTGTGACTTGTGAATTGCACAAGACAAGAGGCCGAGAAGTGTTTGATCATTATCCTGACAACAGAATTATGTGTGTGTGTATCAGCCTGGGTGGAGGTGTTGTGCTTCCTGCTTTACACCAGGCAAAGCCACTATAAATAAGTTCACTGTGGAAAGTATGAGCACAGGCACTTCCACACCCCAGGATTAAGAACAGTATATCTGGATACTTGATTGCAATACTGGGCTCCATATTTCTTGTTTTGTGATATTCCTATTTAGCTATTTCCTGCACCAGGACAAAGATTAGGATGCTCCATCTGATCTGTAGATGGAACATGCTATCATATTGGCCTTCTTTTTAATCAAAGAAATTAACTAGTAAATGAAATTACCATGAACTGTTTCCTTATCTGAGTGTAATGGAATAATGTAGGCTAATTATGCTAATTTTGTCCATTTAAAATTGAATCTACAACACAATAAAGCAAAGGGGTCTAAACACCCTCTGAAGAGATGGTGTATGCATGAAATGCGTCCATACGACTGAGCTCTATCAATCTTTTTTTTTCCCCTGCACAGATTTAGGCATTTGCGTCTCAAACAAAGAAAACTGAGAGATTATGTGAGTGAGATGGTGGACCTCCCTAAGGTGAGTGACAGCTGCTGTATCTCTGCAGTATTTTGAACACATGTTTTTGGAAAGGCTAATGCCAAAATAGATGACAAAGACTACACTCAATACTTATTGTTCACAGACTATTTTATCTATATTCATGAGCCCAGAAGTTTTCCATGGGGAATAAACTCCAGATATAAAGACATTACCTACTGAGAGACAGTGATTTGTGAAATTTTAAATTTGTTTTCTTGACTGATTAACAGGGAAAACAAGTCTAGTTTGTCCAGATTTCAAGTGTAACCCCTTGGTAAGATGTAAATACTAAACCGTGCCGTGGTCACTTTGCAATCAGTTACAGTCTGACAACAACGAGCAAAGAGGACAATTTTTTTTTACCAATTTTATTTCTATTGGCTTGTCTTTTTAAACAAAGTTGCTAAAGGAGTTGCCTTTCTAAGTTCTACGTTTCGAGTAATGAGCTGGCTTGAAACCGTCACACATCCACAACACATATAGCAGCGTGTCAGTCAGCTAAGAGACATCAACTCTCCAAAGTTCCATATTGAATTTGCAACATAGATTTAAAATGTCTGCACAAAATTCAATAATATTGGACAGATGTAAGGGTACTGTTTGACCCACCAGTGTTTTTCCTTGAAAACACAAGAAATCTTTGCATTTGCATTGTTCAACAGATGCAGATGATTATGTGTGACCTCAGTGCCAATTGGAATAACTCCTATCGAGAGATGGAGCAGCGTATCCTCTCCATGGAGCAGAAGCTGGATGAGCTGAGTCGCTGCTTCCAGCAAACCTCGGAGCTCTTGTATCAGGTCCTACGTCATCGCAACCCAGAGATCAGGTAAACAACGCAGCTGCCACCGAGCCTGTGCAGATCTGCTAACAATGCACTGCAGGATGTGGTGTTTACACTGAATCAGGATGTGTCTGTAAGGAAAATACTTTTTTTGTTGTTGTTGTTTTCTGCAGGTGACATGGCTCTGCGCATTTAAGACAGTAACTGTCTTCATCTATAGTATCCATGAAAATGAGAAGGCAAATCCTCTCCATCCAGAGCTGCTCCAGACTCCTACCATGCTGAACCACTTGGAGGACAAACATACTTATTAAAGAGCTCATCTTCTGGCCTTGTGCTGAGAGCATTGCACACTGACTCGTAGCTGCAAAAACATACATACAGAATAAGATTTCTATTCACTGTGGGAGAGGGATCGCTGTGCATTTTCAGCGATCTCTGATTCAAGCAGTTGTTTTGGTGACAGTGAAAGAACTGAATTAATCTCAAACAAGGACTGTGGAGAGTCTTGTAATTCACACTGTCAAAGGCAACAGGATTGCTCACTTCTCTGTTATTTGTAAGTTTCACTGACAGACTCCATCGCTGCCTTATTCCTGTGAAATAAGTGCACTTTTGCATGTTAATTTTATTTTAAATTCCTTGCAATATTTTACAGTGCTAACCTAATCAGATTTAAAAACTTACTTTTCATTAGCAGAGAGTTAAATGGTTACTAAGTTTATTGAAGGTAATACAGGCTCTAACAATATATCACTGTTCTGCTTTCCTACAACATCAATTCAAGTATTTGAGTGCAAAGATAACTATATTTCCAACCGTAGGTTCAGTGAAACTCATAGTTTAATATCTACACTTAATTTTGTAATAATCTGATGCAGGAAGAGCTTCTGCGCTTTACACCTCTTCTCAGAACAAAAACACTTGAGATGAAGTTGCACTGGAAGCTCATCTTAGCGAACCAACAGCTCCCTCTAGTGGACAGGAGTTCACTACACCATGTAATATTGAGCACTATTGACATTAAAGTGGTAAAGATTATATAGCAACCATATAAAAATCAGATGCTATTGTCAACCTGAATATCAATGTCTCACGGTAACATAAAAATTGTAGGTGGTGAAAACAAATAAGAAAAACAAAACAAAAAGCTTCAGAAACCCCCCAAACAAATGTCACTGTCTAGAATACACTTTGTGAGAAAAATTAGCTAAACTGGACTAACTCTTTCTCTGAAGGACAAACTGGAATTGTGGTGTGTTTTAAATTAATCCACTGCTTAAAAATAGTTCATCATGGTTTAATATATACTCTGGCACACTGTCCAAACAAACAAACAAAAAAAATTTGGAGGAACGTATTCTAATCCTGTTTACTATGTTTCATTTGCACATGGTGAAAATGTGTTAACACCTATCCAGGACAGTCTTATAATTAAAAGTCTTTAAGAATTAATGTGCATGATGTTTATTTGGTTTTGTCACTTGGTAACAAATTAAACAAAATGGTCAGATGACATATAAGAATGATACCTTTTGATGTCCGTGCAGATGATACCTTTTGATTTTAAAACTGCTTTAAAGGAGTAGTTTGGGACTTTTCAAGTTGGTCTTAAAACAATATTGGTGTATACCTTTGAGATATACTGACTCATGTTAGCTTAGTGGAACAGATGAAGTTGCATTTGATCCACAGATGAACATCAGAGTGCATGTTTTTACTGAATGAGAGTTATGTAGTTTTTCCCTCTTTTTATGCAGCGTAGTGACGGACTGAGTGGAAACACTCAGGGTCTATGTGGAGAGTAGGTGACATGACAATGACCAAGACCTATTCTCACGTACACAGGGATACATGAGTATTGGTTTAACACCAGCTTGAAAAATCCCAAACTATGCCTTTAAAGTGTGGTAAGGATAAACAAGGTGTGTTACTGCCTTGTTGTTTTAAGGGATTTTTGAACAGTTCATTTTTGTCCAGTTTTTAAGTTGGTGCCATATGTAAGCTGAAGGCCTAAAAAAGGGTTGTCCGCAGTCACATGTAAAGGGCTGTCTGCACTTTTTATTAACTTTACGTTTCCAAGCATGACCAGAATGAGCTTTTTTCCATGAGTTGCCCTTCATGTGTTCTGCTAAGAGTTTTGCTCCTGTGAAAGTCTCCCCACAGCTGACACAGATATAGCTTATGGCCTCCGCATGCTGAACACAATGTCGCAGGAGGTGCAGCCGGTGCTTAAAAGCTCGGCCGCAGTGGCACTGGTGTGAGCGGTGGCCTCGGTGGAGGTAGCGGTGACTGATGATGAGGGAGGGCTGCCGCAACATGGCACCACACTGCCTGCAGGGGTGAGAGGCCTTGGAGCGCCAGCCTGCATTCATACGTTTCATCAAGGCCACATCCTGGCTGTCATTCTCAAACATGGCCAAAATACTGGGTATTGGTGGGGAGACAGGGTCAAAGTTTGCTGTGGCTGGAGTTGCATCAGTGGCATCAAGAAGGTCAAATAAAGGTGAAGAAAGACAGCTTGGAGGTGGGGTGGCTGGCTGACCTAAGGCACCGTCTGTCCCCTGTTTGACAGGTGCAGCAGGAGACCCCATGCATATTGAGGCAGAGCTGCCTGGGTTGGAAGAGACCATCAAGTCAGAAGATGGGCTTGATTTTACAGCAGTGGACAGTGACCCTGCATAGGTCTGCCCAACCTGGAGCTTCCCATTAATGACCTGGCTGACTACGTTATTACTACTGATGGAAGACTGGGCTGTGATGCCACAGACATCTAGTGGAACCTTTTTATCAGTCAGTGCAGATGGATTGGTGATGATGCAAACCTTTGTGCTGACCACTGACGTGTGAACTCTGGTGACATGGTTTAACAAAGTTTTCTCTGAAGTGAAAAAGGACTTGCATATGTTGCATGCTTTCGGCATTGTTTCGGAACAAAAGAAGACCAAAGGTGATTTGCTTTGTTTTGGACACTGGTGGTGATGGTACAAGATCTCATGAGAAAAAACTTGCCCACAGATGTCACAGGAATACAAAGGCAAGTAGTGTTCATTGAGAGCCGTCTCAGTTGAAAACAGCTTCTTACAGAGTAAACACTGATATTTTACCCTTACACCACTGCAGTGCAGCAAATGGAGCTTTATTGACTTAAATGGCCCTCTACCACACACACCACATACTGAACTGTCCACACTAGGAGGGGGTGTGTGGTTTTTTTTAGAGTGCAGACAAGTCGAGGAGTCACTGGAATCATCAGTTGAACTTGATTTGCAGTCACCATCTGATTTTGGATGGTCTGTAATGAGGTTTGCAGCTTTAGAAAGTATTTCATCTTCATCATCAGATTCACAGCTGGTAGAATCATCCGTCTCCTCACAATCACTTTCTGTGTCAATGTCTTTATCATCTTCACCCAGTATATATTCAACACTGTTTTCAGGGGTTTCTGGTCTCTCAGGCTTTATCTCAGTAATTTGTTGAGACCTCAATGGTGACACTGAGTCATGCAATCCCGCGTTTGCGCTTTCTTCTGCAGGCACAGCATTTGAAAAGATGCCACCATTCTGATATGTGACTGCTGAAATCAAAGAGGGAGCTTCCTGAAATGGTGCTGAGCCCATGCACCGTGTCTCTGCATGCTTGTTCAACTCCCACACATTACTGAAAGACAGAAGGCACCTTTTGCAGAGAGGCGGTGAGTGTGCATTATCCAGGTGCATGGAGAGTGACGTCAGGCGTCGGAAAATAACATTGCAGATGTGGCAGGTGGCTGTGATATTGTGGCGTTTGTAGTGTGACATCAAGTTTTTTATGCTGCTAAATTTTTTGCCACATTCCCAACATTTTGCCTCTGAGTGTGCATCTTCCCCCTGCCTTTCTGTGGATACACACCATTCTTCATCGCTGCTTGAGTCTTCAGACATAAGGAGCTGGTCAAGGCAACCTGTGGGTTGTCTAAAATGTAAAGCAGCATAGATAGAATCACTTAAAAATGTTTGAGAGCAAATCCACTATAGTAAAGGTTTCATTCAAACATTAAAGCACAAGCATTACAGTTATGTAATGTTGAGATAAAGATTTATCCAAACTTAATACAGAGCTGAAACGATTACTGAATAGCCTACTGACCAAAAGCCAAAAGGTTCATATCAGAATCTGTATTATTTTGAGTCATTTATCAACCAAACCTACTAGACACTCACTGAAATACCTCAACAGCTTCTAGATAGATTTCTATGAAATTTTGTACAAGCATTCATGGTCTCCAGAGGATATATCCTAATTTGGTGACCTCTATCACCATCAGCTGGTCAAAGTTTTCATTGAGCAGTGAAACGATTCAACATTTACTACACTGGCACATAATTTGGCAGAGACATTCATGATCCCCAATGTGTGAATCCTACTGATTTAGGTGACCTCCTGACTTTTCCTCTAGTCAGCCCATGAGGATCAAATTTGTGAGTTTCAGTAAAATACCAAATACCATCAATACCAAATAAAAACTATTATGAAGAATGCCATTAGGTTTGGTACAAACATTCATGCCTCCCTCAGGATGAACTGTATTGTTTTTGGTCTTAGCATGCTAACATGTTAAACTAAGATGGTGAGCATAGCTACATGTAAAGTGGGTACCACTTTACATGTAGCATGTTAGCATTTAGCTCAAAGCACCTCAGTGCATACTACGCCTCACAGATCATATATGTAGCCTTGTAGTCCATTTCTGTCACTTTTATTTTAGTCTTATGTGACTTTTATATTATTTAAATTGAAGGCCGCTGAGTTTTAAACACGATTAGGTTTATGTAAAATTGTTTGATTTTAAATGCCTGTTAAGTTGCAGCTCTAGTTTGCTTAAACTTTTAATATTAACATTTAACTTTTAATCTAGTACCACAAACCCATCAACACATATTTCTTTCCCTTTGAAATAGTTTACCACTTTTAAATGACCTACCATTACAGATCAGCATGGGTCTTTGTGCAACGTTAAAAAGGCAGCTACGTGTGAGCCATGTAACAGAAGAAGACCTCAATACATCACACTTTAATTTGTGCAGTGAGACTATACTTACCTCTGTCCACAAGTACTGGACCGAAAAACCGATGCATGCAGAACACAGCAACACTGAAATAATTTGATGCTTCCAAACTACAAGGTGACAGCTCGTCCAAGTCTGCACGTCACTTTAAGCATACAAATAGCTAGCATTAACTAGTATCTAATGACATGGGTTTTCGGAAAAATAAACAACCTCTAGTCAAGATTTATGTCTAAACTGCATCCGACTGTAAAGGTGGCGATAATATATATATTATTCAGTACATTACAGTAAGGAAAAACCTGTCACTTTTTCACATTTGAAGACTATCATTTTGCTGATGGCGTCAACAAATAGCTCGTCCATATCCTGATTTGAACCGGAAGAGAGACGCATACACTTCCCAGAATGCATCAGCGTATTTGATTTAACCAAATATGGCAGTCTAATATGTCCTAAAACGTCGGGAAAACTCTGGTTTTGATATATGGTTATATCGGTGTAATGTTAGGCAGTAGAATAATTCAATTTAATGAGATAATAACAAGATTAAAAGCATTCTAGAAAAAATAACCTTGAGCACCGTTGAATTATTAATATGCAGCTTTATTTAATCGAATGATACTTGATAATTCATTCACTTCACACGAACAACGCCTATATTGTATACAGTAAATACTTGAACTATACCTTTAAGAAACCCAGCATCTCATGATGTGGATATTATTGATATACTTTCTAACAAAAAGAAACAAAAGCAGCAGAATATGGCTAAACCAGAAGAACAGGATGTCATATCATATATTTTTCTTTATACAGTAAAGTATGCAACATAGCGAGGACATGGGTTATGCATGTAAATGGTCCTTAAAGTGGCGGAACACATAGCATTACGTTGTTTCACGACGACCTCATTTGCGAGACGGATAGGGCACGTTTGATTGACAACAAACAGAATTTTAAACGGGTGAAATTTCTTCACCTTTTTTATATTCGACAGCCGCTCCAACATTGCATTGTAACTTGTTAAGATAGGAAAGAAGCGCTCTAGCAGACAGGTATTGCTAAAATATTTATGTCAGTCCATAGTCAAGTGCTTGAAGTTGCTCTATGACGATACTATCACCTAAAATCTTTAAACATCGACGAGAGCAATGGCCACATGATTACTAAGTGTCAGTTTTTTCATTACAAAGTAACATTATCTTTAGCTCGCCTATACTTGTACTGGGGTCCCATCCCGAGCTAGCATTCTGTTGACATCAGTTGTGCTAACGTTAGTGAATCAAGTGCGTAGGGACATGTCGGAGTCCGGTCACAGTCAGCCCGGGATGTACGGGCAGGGACGCAGGAGGAGGAGACGCAGGGGAGACAGAGATGCTGGACCTCCGGGGCAAAATCTGTCCGGTCCTAGTCGGGATCGAGAATACCAACCGAGAGAACGAAGAGTACGTTAATACAAACAACCAGCGTTACTTACCCAAATTAGTTGCTTTGATTGCTGGTTTAATTAAGTAGCGACTCATTTTCATTTGTCTGTTCAGGACGCGAGCGAGGACCCTCCAGGCCCACTCATTCAGAAGACCCCCATCATTCTTGCAAAACCCCCTGGGGAAAGGGTACGTTAGCCTATAAAGTGTTGCCTCACTCCTCTGTTGCATTGCTGGGAGAATGCATTACAGAAAAACATTTAAGGGTGTAGCTAGTTACCCATTAAGAAATTTTTGTAGTTGGGCATATTAAACACAATAATGCATGCTATGAAATTAGAATACTTTGATTTGTTAAAGTAATACTCCTGCTTTACAGTTAACGATGGTTGCATTGCATACTTTGATTTGTTAAAGTAATACTTTGCTTGCAGAAAAGTTAGACTGGCTAGTAACTAAAAATATGTGTCAGCATGCATTTTATTATCCAGTTTGAGAACAGTTTTTGGCAGCGGTCTCTCCAGAATTTAGGACTACATTCATATTGCCCAAGGCAGTTAATAAGTGATCATTATAGAAAGTACGGTACATATCTATTAAGCTCTTCTACCTCTCAGCTCATGTGGGTCATTGACTTGTGCTGTTAAATGGACCCTATTCAAGGCCAAACCAATACAGAATGCACCTGTCAGTGGAGCTCCAGTCCCGGAGAAGCCCATCATGCTAATGAAAGCCAGGGATGATGGAGGGAAACCAGGGACCCCACCAGAAGTGGCAGCTCAGCCTTCTGGTCCTGGGTCCTTCAAGACAGAGAGGGAAGGGCAGCGACCTACCCAGCTTGTATACTAGATCCAAAACCGAGGAATGGGTGCTTCCTCGTCAAGTAGTGCTGTGGACCGTAAGTTATTATAGAATTCGCAAAGCTTTTTTCCTACTGGAAATGTCACAAACTATGATGTAGAGAAGTACTGTACTTGGATGCACATGTTAAGGCGGAATCACATGCGATGAGAAAAGTACATTTTGAATCTGTTTATGTAACTTCCAGCTATGGTTGGCCAGTCTAAACTACTCCCTCCGGAGAAGATGAAGCACAGCATTAAGTTAGTGGATGATCAGATGAACTGGTGCGACAGTGCCATGGAGGTGAATTAATATGTGATTGCAGGGCCATTGTCTTAAAAGATTGAAGAATATTTTCAGTATACTGTACTGTATCAATTCAAAGCAAGCTGCTTTTTGTTGTGATGTGTTTTAGTACTTGAGGGACCAGACAGATATGTTGGTGGTGGGAGTCATTGGCCTTCAGGGAACTGGGAAATCTACAATCATGTCACTGTTATCTGCCAACACTCCCGAGGAAGATCAAAGGTAAGGTTGATTATAACACAACAATAAGCACAAGCTTGTAAATGGCTCACTTCTGTGTGAATAATATACTGGTTTTATTTAATAATAAAATAAAATGTTGCACTTGTTAGAGAAACCCGTAAGTGCAAAACAAAATAGTAGCAGAAGTCCACTAAGAGTATTGAACTGTTCTGATCAGGGCTAGAACAGTCCACTGAAAAGCGCAATACAACAGAAGAATATAACTGTATTTGTGTCAGTACTACATAGTACTCAGGCACTTGAGGAATGTATGGGTTGGGTTTAATAGATAAAAAAGAATTGTCAAACTGTAAAATGGCACAAACTGATAACACAAATCAGTAGTTAATTTCTTTATATGTTTATTCACGCAGAGTGCAAGTCTGTGTGAAAGCAGCTTAAGAATGTAATGTGTTCTTTGTTTGGAATAAGCATGTGTTTTTGTTTCCACAGGAATTATGTATTCAGAGCCCAGACTCAAGAAATCAAGGAGAGAGGAGGAAATCAGAGCACCGGGATTGATTTCTTCATCACTCAGGAAAGAGTTATTTTTTTGGATACACAGGTAAGAATGAATCAATGTGTATACTGAGTATTGTTGTCATGATACTGGAACCTCAAATTTCAATATGATACCTTGAAAAATACCGACATTGGATACCATTTTTGATACTGCGGGGTAAAACTGACAGCTAATTGAAGGCATAAAATTTAGAATTTTAGTTAAAAGATAAGTTTAACAAGACTGTAATGTGACAACGAGGTACGATTTGCTTTTCTTTGGTAGCAGAGAACAGCAGAATGGCTGTAGATTTAGGGTGGCATCTCCACAGGGGACCAGGGAAACGCTGCCCCCACATGTAAAACATGAAAAATGGAAAATTGAAACCCCCCAGTATTTGTCTTGACCAATCCTTAAATGTCTACGGAAGCTATAAGAAAATAGATGTTCATCACTCAAAAGTGTTAAACTGACTAAAACATAGTGAATGTTCATTGAATGTTCATCACTCAAAAGTGTTAAACTGCCTCTAAAACATAGTGAATGTTCATTGGGCTGCTCCCACTTCACATTGATTTACATTGCAACAGTGAGCACATCAGCTGTGTGTGGGGCTGTGACTGGTCAGCATGTGCCAAAGTTTGGCCATTCTGTGCCCTGCTTACACCATATAGGCCTACAGCTGATCACTCAAGGTACACAAGTAAAATGGTTTGTTTAAATCCGAGCAAGAGAAATTGCAGTGCTGCAGCAGCCACTTCACAAATTCACAGAAACAAGGTGCTGTATACAAGGAATTAAAGGCCAAATTACTGTATATACAAAAGCTAAATAGGCTATACAGTCAAAGATAGGCTTTAAAATAGATCAAATACATAAACAGAATATAATGAAAAACAGACACAAAAGGCTGAGAAAGCGTTCCAGGTGGTGTTGACACAGTGAGATTAAAATGCTGTTTCTAGTGCTCCTGGTCCACGTGACACCAGCTGTTGCAATTTAAATGACTTAAAACCTGTTGGAACATCCCGTTCACATTCACAAGTTTGAGCAGGTGAAATTTGCCCAGAAACAACACAACTTCATCTGAAGTCAACATCAGGGAGGACCCTCTGAGCCACAGAGGTTCACTGTGTCCAGAGACCGTTAAACCCACCAGTGACTACATTGTTTCCTTCATCACCATGAACAAACACACACTGGAGTTTATTCTGACTCAACCCCACATACACTCTCCTGCTGCCGCTAATACTCACCAGAGACCAAATGTGGGTTCATCTGCTACTGAAAATAGTCTCCAATATATGCAGTTTCCTTCTGTTTAACTGCTAAAACTACAGTGAGCAGCTAAACCTTTTCTTTTTAATGCATCTACAGTGGAACCTTGGTTTTTGTATGCCCTACTTTTCGTACGATTCAGTTTTTTTCGTCGAAATTTTGTCCCAGCTTTTGTACATCCGCTCGGTTTTCGTAAAAGTTAAAGTCACCCATTAAAATTCTACTTGAGTAAAAGTGTCTAAGTATCTGATATTAACCATACTTAAGTATCAAAAATAGCTTTATTAGTATTGAAAGTAAAAGTACAAATGTTGTTAATAAAATAGCAAAGTAGTCAGAATTTGGAAAATTACACACTTTATTCTGCTGTGCCTTCTTTTCTTAAAATTCTTAACTTAAAATCACCATGACAAGAAAAACCAAAAGCTTATTGTACAAAAAAAAAAAAAAATTGGCCTTGAAAACTAAATTGTTCTGTACTGAAATGTAGTGTAAGACTATTCCCATAACATGCACCTTTCTAATGA